TTTACACTCATATTAGGTACTTAAAAGACTCGTAACCTCAACCTTTAAAAACTGTACCAAGACTTTATTAGTATAATAGATAAGGTTTTAGGTTGTCAATGTATTTTTAATCATAACATAAACTATTAATAGATATTAATAATTAATAATTTCATTAAATCAGTTACTATTTTTGTGTTGTAAATTTATTACACAGATTTAGGGACAGGACCATTTGTTACGTGGGAGGGGCTTTGGCCCCAATTTATTTTTGGAACAACAACATATTATGTTTTTGTTAGTTTAAATATTAATTAAATAAAATTTTATCTTTCTCAATCATTAAATTTAAATATTAAAATATCTTTATCCTATTAATGTTTGATCCTAGCTCCATCCTGATATGAATTGATATTATTCGACGAAAACAAGAACCAACGTCCCAAATTCTAATATTGCCAAAACTTAAAATAGTTTATGAGTAAATTGCAATCAGAGTACTGAAATTTTACCCAATTTGGTTTTATCCTTTCTAAATTGTCATTAGAGTTTTTTTTACCTTCACAGGAAAAGAGTTGATCATTATCGTGCATCCTTATATTAAACTAAATAAAAAAATAGCTAATTGTTGATTTCCAAGAAAATTAGGGTAACTACAAACTAATTGACTTCCCCTTTCTCTAACAACTTTCATTCACTACAACAAAACAGGTTTTTTGCGGCGTTTTTCAGTCATATAACGATGTTTTTAATCGCAGTTAAAAACCTTTGTGGTACAGAAACAAACGTCGCAACAAGCGCTGCTGAAACAAATGCCACAAAAGGTAGCGATGTTTGTCGTTCACAAATGCCACTAAAGGTTATGTTTTTAGCCGCATTTTTTACCAACGCCGCTAAAGATAATAATATTTAGTGGCGTTTTCTACAATCGCTACTAAAGGATATGATATTTGGCGGCGTTTTTCCAAACGCTGCTATTTATCTTTTCTTTTGTGGCATTTTCCCCAAAAATGCCGCTAAATGTTCTGACATATAGTGGTGTTTGTTCCCAAAAATGCCACTAAATGTTATGTCATATAATGGTGTTTATGAATTTAAAACGCTGCTATTGACTAAGTATATAGTGGCATTTTCTTTATAAACACAGCAAAATATCTAGAACTTTAGTGACATTTTTCAAAAATACTGGTATTGACTATGCATTTAGTGACGTTTTTAATACAAACGCTGCGAATTAAAACTAATTTTTCAAATGCTATTTTCTACTCTTTTGTTACCAAAATTTAACCTGTAGCATTATGCAATAAACTTAACATCCAGAAAACAAACTTGAAATCCATAATAAGTAACTTGAAAAAATCCATAATAATAAATCAAAGTTTACATTAACGTAAAATATAATGTAGTTCAACATTGTTAACTAGAATAAACAATAATAACACCTAAGATGGTGGACTCTGGGGTTGATTTTGTCGTATCATCTGCATCATAACTTGAAGTTGATTTTGTCCTATAAATGCATCATACACCTATTATATATGCATAAACAATAGCTTAGATAACTTTGAACATGACACAAGAAAATCAAATAAAACATGATAACAACCTATAACAATACATGAATTATATAATACGAGCTATTAATATGTCAATATTAATTTATATAATCATGTAATTACAATAGGTTAGAGTGTGAATTTTTCGAAAGACATACTAAAAATTTAAGAGTATAAAATTATAAAATTTTAGGGATACAAAATTAAATTATTTATAAAATATAAAAAAGAACCTAGATTATATGAAAGTTTTAAAATCTAATTCCATGTAGGAACCCTAAGGTTCAACCTAATTATCTTATTGTGGGTTGAAGCAATTTAGTCCAAAATTTTTGTCTAATGTCAAGTTTAGTCTTATATATTTATTTGAAACTTATTAAATTAAATCTTGTATCTTTTAAATTTTGAATTAAATATTTATTAAATTATTATTAATTTTAAAGTTAGATAATTCAACTCTTTTCATTGTCTATTTTTGAATCAGTCTATTCTCTATGCGTGCATGAGAAAGATACATCTCTGCGTGCATTTCACAAGAACCTGCCAAAACCTCTTGGTTATATCCCGATACTTGCAATTTACAAGTTTTCCTTTACGCCAATAAGGTAATGCAATAGCAATCTGTCAATGAAATTCTAAGAGTAATCAGCTGAGATGTGCATTGATTACATCAATAAACAAAAAAGCAGAAGATAAACCCTGAAAACTTTAACTATATTAATAAGAAATATCAGTTATTTTATAGTAAAATAAATTCACCCTTGCAAAAATGTCTGCCATCTTGAACAACTAATAAGGTAAGATAAACCAGCCAACATAGCATATACTTCAGTAGCTGCCAAGGAAGGAACCTTATAATGCCACTATAAAAAAGTTTTAGACAGAATCGTAGTTTGTGCATATGCATACATTCAAATCAATTAATAGAAGTTGAAGTTCAAAGTAAGCTTAATCACGGGAATTATGTTTTGATTTGAAGAAGTGAGAAATGGTCAGTTAATAAGCCTAGTAATATATAGAGTAAACCCTAAATTCAAAGTTTCAAGTCGGCAAGCAAAACCATGCAGACCACACGTTAAATGACTGTGTTTTAAATTTTTAATAATAGAAATTGAAGTTCAAAGTAAGCTTAATCAAGGGAATTGTGTTTTGATTTGAAGAAGTGAGAAATGGTCAGTGAATAAGCCTAGTAATATATAGAGTAAACCCTAAATTCAAAGTTTCAAGTCGGCAAGCAAAACCATGCAGACCACACGTTAAATGACTTGTGTTTTAAATTTTTAATAATAGAAATTGAAGTTCAAAGTAAGCTTAATCAAGGGAATTGTGTTTTGATTTGAAGAAGTGAGAAATGGTCAGTGAATAAGCCTAGTAATAGATAGAGTAAACCCTAAATTCAAAGTTTCAAGTCGGCAAGCATAACCATGCAGACCACACGTTATGACTGTTTTAAATTTTTAATAATAGAAATTGAAGTTCAAAGTAAGCTTAATCACAGGAATTATGTTTTGATTTGAAGAAGTGAGAAATGGTCAGTGAATAAGCCTAGTAATATATAGAATAAACCCTAAATTCAAAGTTTCAAGTCGGCAAGCAAAACCATGCAGACCACACGTTAAATGACTGTGTTTTAAATTTTTAATAATAGAAATTGAAGTTCAAAGTAAGCTTAATCAAGGGAATGTGTTTTGATTTGAAGAAGTGAGAAATGGTCAGTGAATAAGCCTAGTAATATATAGAGTAAACCCTAAATTCAAAGTTTCAAGTCGGCAAGCAAAACCATGCAGACCACACGTTAAATGACTTGTGTTTTAAATTTTTAATAATAGAAATTGAAGTTCAAAGTAAGCTTAATCAAGGGAATTGTGTTTTGATTTGAAGAAGTGAGAAATGGTCAGTGAATAAGCCTAGTAATAGATAGAGTAAACCCTAAATTCAAAGTTTCAAGTCGGCAAGCATAACCATGCAGACCACACGTTATATGACTGTTTTAAATTTTTAATAATAGAAATTGAAGTTCAAAGTAAGCTTAATCACAGGAATTATGTTTTGATTTGAAGAAGTGAGAAATGGTCAGTGAATAAGCCTAGTAATATATAGAATAAACCCTAAATTCAAAGTTTCAAGTCGGCAAGCAAAACCATGCAGACCACACGTTAAATGACTGTGTTTTAAATTTTTAATAATAGAAATTGAAGTTCAAAGTAAGCTTAATCAAGGGAATTGTGTTTTGATTTGAAGAAGTGAGAAATGGTCAGTGAATAAGCCTAGTAATATATAGAGTAAACCCTAAATTCAAAGTTTCAAGTCGGCAAGCAAAACCATGCAGACCACACGTTAAATGACTGTGTTTTAAATTTTTAATAATAGAAATTGAAGTTCAAAGTAAGCTTAATCAAGGGAATTGTGTTTTTATTTGAAGAAGTGAGAAATGGTCAGTGAATAAGCCTAGTAATAGATAGAGTAAACCCTAAATTCAAAGTTTCAAGTCGGCAAGCATAACCATGCAGACCACACGTTATATGACTGTTTTAAATTTTTAATAATAGAAATTGAAGTTCAAAGTAAGCTTAATCACAGGAATTATGTTTTGATTTGAAGAAGTGAGAAATGGTCAGTGAATAAGCCTAGTAATATATAGAGTAAACCCTAAATTCAAAGTTTCAAGTCGGCAAGCAAAACCATGCAGACCACACGTTAAATGACTGTGTTTTAAATTTTTAATAATAGAAATTAAAGTTCAAAGTAAGCTTAATCAAGGGAATTATGTTTTGATTTGAAGAAGTGAGAAATGGTCAGTGAATAAGCCTAGTAATATATAGAGTAAACCCTAAATTCAAAGTTTCAAGTCGGCAAGCATAACCATGCAGACCACACGTTATATGACTGTTTTAAATTTTTAATAATAGAAATTGAAGTTCAAAGTAAGCTTAATCACAGGAATTATGTTTTGATTTGAAGAAGTGAGAAATGGTCAGTGAATAAGCCTAGTAATATATAGAGTAAACCCTAAATTCAAAGTTTCAAGTCGGCAAGCATAACCATGCAGACCACACGTTATATGACTGTTTTAAATTTTTAATAATAGAAATTGAAGTTCAAAGTAAGCTTAATCACAGGAATTATGTTTTGATTTGAAGAAGTGAGAAATGGTCAGTGAATAAGCCTAGTAATATATAGAATAAACCCTAAATTCAAAGTTTCAAGTCGGCAAGCAAAACCATGCAGACCACACGTTAAATGACTGTGTCAGTGTGTCTACCCTCATTGATCGTGCATGCCATGCTTGCTGTCGATGTTTTCACGGGTGATAGGCTAAAAATCCTCTCCTAAACTAATTATTTGCTCTGATAGTCACACCAAATCCATTTTTATTCTTCTTCTTGTTCTCTCTCTATCGTGTCGTTCTTAGGTGATGTTAGCTGTTTTGTCCTGTCCAGATTATGAGAGAATGTCAATTTGTAAGAATTCGACTACTTTTTACACACAAGATACGAAGATCCATAGTGAAACTCCCAAAGCCATCTTAAATCCCATCCATCTCTTCCCTCTTCCTCCCTCACTCTTCTCTGCAGCACTTGATGCTCCGCTACTCGAACTTCCTAGTCCCTACAATATCCGACGTCGGATATCCTATAATCATATTGAATCTTGATTATTTTAAAGATCAGAAACCTTACAATGAATATATATGTTACCAGTGGCAGCTGGGGTAGTGGCATGCGCCTCTGTCAGCTTTAGATATTCTTCGAATAACTTGGCGTCCTTGGAATTTGGTGCCATACGTATATGTATGTATGTATGGTTTACTTACAGATACAGTTAGTTATGTTAACCGGGGCATGACACGTACTAGGAAGGGTAGCTTCTATAGTGGTGTTGATCTTAAGCCCAAGGCTTGGATCATCTTTATCTTTAAGCAATTCACAAAGGCATTTCATGTTCTTATCCAACACCTGTTCGATCCCACCGCAACAGTCTACGGTGGGCGTTTTCGCCTCTCCGCCGACGTACTGGATACATGGAGCAAGCCCCGCCAGCTTATCAGCGCATTCAGCTTTATCTTGGTTGACATGGGAGCTCGCGAAACCGAGCAGCATCGGAAATAAGAAGAATGAGAGTGTCCAGATTTGATGCTTGGACTCCATGGCATACAGGATGTGTCCTTTAGGAGCTTATGGAAAGGGAAGGGAAAGCAAAGGAGAAAAAGTTAAGGGGTAGGAGCAAAGAGTGTTACAGGACTTTTTATAGGGCTGTAAATACTAAATATAAAAATAAAAAGATAATTGGAATCAAAGAGATAAGCAAGACCAGTGACAGATCACAACATTACATGTGGAATAGGATGTCTGCAATATCAAATTCTCACAAAATTCTGAATAGAAAGAAAATATATATTTATACACACTCTAATTCATATTTTCCTTCAAAATTTATAATGACAATAATATTAACTTAATTGAATTTAATTCATCATATCAAATTCTTTATTATATGTGTGATATGAATGTCAAAACTATTTTTAGAGGCCCCACGATATTTAAAAATATATATATGTACGTGTTTTGAACATATAATCATCATCAACCTTAATGATCATTTATAAAAAAAATATGAGTAATTTGAGATCGGTGCTCACATGCAATGCGTTATATGTAAATCAAGTAAGATGTACCAACCAAGCCATAAGGGGACACGATTTTTATAGTTGCAAAAAAAAAAAAACAATTATTGTACATAGGTTAATCTTATATATCTAGGGTAATATTGTAAAAAAACGAATTCACCATCCGTCCGTAGTTTTAATTGGATGATTCAATAACTTAAACTCGTTTTGGATATCTAATGGATCTGAGAATGTCATATTTAAGTCACGAAACGACCCATATAATTTCTAAAAAATTTTACTTAAAATTGAATGGTTATAAAATAATCAAATCGAATAAATCATAAAACGTACTTATTTATGAAATAAGTTGAATACTAAGAAATATTGAATGATTTTACATACAATACTCACTAAAGGTCTTATAAATAGTACGTGTCTAACTAAAGTGAATAAATAATGTACTTAAATAGGAGGATCGCTTGAACTCTATTACGGATGTCGATACCTTAACCCGGGTGTAACCAAAACCTAACTACATGTGAGGAGAAAATAATTTTGAACATTGAATTTTATAGAATTCAATAATGCAGACATGTCGAACTCAAGGATGACATGAATTGTTAAGGCATTTGACATGATTTGGCATACTTTGAAACATACAATTGACTTTTACTTTAATGTAGCTCTTACCAAGTTAAGGGTCACATACTCACTTAGTCCTTAACCAATCTAACCAAACGAGTTATCCGCGTTATTATTTAAAAAATCCCTAAAAATTCATTTATTGGAAAAGTAATCTTAAATAGAATTAATTGGAAAAACACTCCTCCAAACTGTTCACGTAAGATGACCTCGCGTTCTGTGAAAAGTGAAGTCATATCTCACGTCCTGCAAAAAACGAGTTTCAAAGTTCATTAAACGCGTTTTATAGAACGCAAGGTCTGAGTTCTAAGCTTGAACTCAAGGGGTATTTATACTTGAAAAATCCGAATAAAATAAATAATTCAAAATCCTTAATAAAAATAAAGATAAATATAAAGCACTCACAATTTAAATTTAAAAGGTTTATCTCAAAGATAAAGTAAAAATATTTAGAACTTGCCTTTATCTTGTAGACAACCTTCAATTATCTTCAAACTTTATATTCAAAATAAGTTTGAAATTAATTCTCTAAGATAATTTAGTCCATCTTTTAGAAATACGACCGTCTTCTAAAAGGTGTTGAATGGTGCCCATGACTGGAGTCATGACTCCTAAAAAAATACAAGTTATGTTATTTTACTGTTGGTTCTGGCCAATTATTCAAAATGAAGTTCTTGTACGAAAATAAACCAAAATGGAGAAAAATCAACAATATCCAATCAAAATCAAGGTGTAAATAATAACAAATGTATGCAACATCGAACACCTATCAAGACTCGATCAAAAACGAAACCATGTCCCCCTACGGAAGCCCCAGCATCAATGCCCTTTAGCCATTTGCACGGACACGCCATTAAACCATGGGATAAACTCTGCAGAAGCAGTGGTACACTATCAAAACCAAATTATGAACCTCCCTAAACAAGTCTGAATCCATCTGCACAGAACATCTACAGGAAAGACCAAACACGTCAACACCAAAACCACCGCAATATACATCAGAAAGCATCAGACCTGGAACCATTCTGTCCAAATACAAGCACTCCTCCCATTAAAACAGTTCAGACTTTTGGTTTACCTAACCAATACCACACAACACTCCATAGAAAAGACAAACATGAGCTCGCATGACAAAGATCCCTGATACGCTTGACATATATGCATCTATTTTTCAAAAACTAAGGTCCTTTTAATTTTAGAAAATATATGTTCTTTTCATTTTTATTTTTTAGAATGTATGTTTGGTTGTAAAATTAAAAAATAATTTTTGAAAAATGAAAATAAAAATAAGTGAATATATGAAAATATGAAAAAATATGTTTTCATTATTTTAATTAATTTTTTTTTAGAAATTTGAAAAATAGGAAAATATAAGATCTAGATTTTTTTAACTTAACTTGCATGGATTCAAATCTCTTTAAATGTAATTTTTGACTTATGGATATCTAAAACTCTCAAACTTTTGCCAAAAAATTAATATGATCTCTGAACTTTTTTGCACTCAATTTGGTATTTAAGCTAAATATTTAATAATTTAATTTGTTAACGTTTTTATACTTAATGTATTAAATCTCTTAATAATTATCTATATTTTATATTTTAAATTAATTTTTTTAATTTTTCTAAAAATAATGAAGTCTTTAAACTTTTTTAAAAGAATCAATTAAGCCATCAAACTTAGCAAGAAGATCAATTAAGTTCACTACCATATCATCATCCAGCATGTACTACCACAACAACATCGTGAACTGTCACATCAAGATTGTATATTGATATGTAAGCTTTGTGAATTTTTGTGTAAGCATCGTTACGGGTAACGCTTGATTTCGTTAGTCAAAGGGTTAGATTGATTTTTTTCTCAATTTAAGGATTTTATTGAGTGTGAAAAAAGTTCAAGGGCTACACTAGTTTTTTTTTTCTTTCAAAAGTTAGAGTGCCTTAAATGCCACTAAACATATTTTTTTTATTTTAACGACACTTTCTGTGCTCTTGTTTACAACAATATTTTTTTATATTTTTTAATTTAATTGATGTCCAATATACATTAACATTATATTTAATTTTTGTGTTATAAAATTTCTTATCAACTTTATTGTTATATCTTAACAATTCATGATTTCATTTATAATAACCAAACATGTTTTCTAATTAAAAAAATAAAATGAAAAGTATTTTCCAAAATTAAAAATGAAAAACAAAAACAAAAAATATTTTTTAGAACCAAACGAGCCCTAAATTTTTTAGTGTTACTAATTAGTTTTAGGAGTTCTTTAGTTTTTCTTTCAAAATTGTAGGACTTAACACTCATTTATTGAGGGGGTATTTTGATCTTTTCACCTCTTAGGGCTATTTGGTCATTTTGTAAATTTTAGGTTTGATAACCTACTAAAATTGAACTTAAGATATCTTAGACACGTCAGCGCTTAAGATTTCAAACTAGGCCTAAAAACTGGGTTTTCTTTTTCCAATTAAGTCATCTGGTTTTTTTATTTAACCCATTAGGGTATTTGAATTTTTATTTTGAGATCTACGATATTTTTATAGTGTTTATCGAACTCGACATATTAGTGACTTCAAACGAGTTTCACATATAAGTTTGTAACTTTTTCAATTAACAAGAATCATCAAGCATGCTTAGCACCATGAACAAGACACGCAACATGTTTAAGCAACCAAATCATTCAATACGTACATCCGTGAAATAAAAATCAAGTTAGATGTGTATTGACTTTGTTTTCTTCAATAAGATGAGTCTTTGTCCTACACCTCCAACATTTTCTTCTTTCTGATTTACAATGCTATTTTTAATACTAATATGTAAGAAATATACTTAAGAAATGAAGAAAAAACCCGCATGGAAAGCTTGTCCTTTCAAAACCCTACTAAAACCCCCCACTATACTCTAAGAGCATCATTGTAGGAGATATTGAGCTCAACTTGAAGCTCTCAAGATGGAGATGAAAAAGTCTACCACTTTAAGTTTTGGATACTTAAAAAATCTGTAGAAAGTTCATACCTTGCTCAAGTTTAGGCTCTAGACATGGTGAATCAATAAGGGAGAAAGTTGGGAGGAAAAGATTAATGAGGATGCAACAATTTTTCAATTTAGTATCCAATTCTTACCCAATTAAGCCTAGAAAGGAACCCTTTTTCGCTCAGCCATAGTCACACATAGTTTTCTGAACGCTAGCCAGTAGCCACAAGCCGCAACCGTTTGACATTGCTACTGTCAATTACAAGCTACTGCCATTGCATGTCTCAATTAATTGTAAAAAGGTTGCTGTCTTTCTCAATACAATGTAAGAAGGTTGCATGCCTCAATATATATGTTGTTATTAGTTTTAGGGTTTTGATTTGATCAATGATAAACAAGTGGAATATAGACTTCCCACCGTTTCCCGTAGGGGAGGAGTCAGAATTTAATGTTAACAGAGGTCGGATTTTTTTTAACGACTTCAAATATTATACGTAATTTTATTTTATTATTTATTTATTTTAAAAAATATAAAGGAAAACATCAAAAATACACATTAGTTCTATCATTTCTATGAAATAACAAGTAAAAAATTAGAAATTAAATTAAAGTAAATAATAAAAAATATATGATTTTAAAAGGTGTCAAAGACATAACTAACATATAATCATAATAAAACATGTCGCCCCTTTAAATCTTGAAATACATCCACGAGTGTGCTAAATATACTAAAATTAAATATAAGATCAAACAACTCCAATTAATAAATATAATATTGCTTAATTGTTTACCTTTAAAAATTTACACACAATTAAATTTGGACCACTTCAGTAAATCTTTGATAATCGTAGTAGAAGGGACTTACTTTTGTTGTGGGGTTGATTGTTCTATTGTAATAGTTTATGTTAGAAGAATGAAGATTT